ATGATGTGTATCACAGTAAAATAAACCCTAAATTTTATTGAAAAAAATAATAATTAAAATTGTTAATTTAATTTAAAAAAAATGAAATTTTAATAACATGCAACACAAACAAAAAACGAACCCCACACTAAATGATGTGTATCACAGTAAAATAAACCCAAAATTTCATTGAAATATTAAAAAAAATTAAAATTGTTAATTTAATAAAAAGAAAATTGAAATTTTAATAACATGCAACACAAACAAAAAACGAACCCCACACTAAATGATCTGTACCACAACTGTCCCCCACGGCCCACATCAAAAATCAGGGGAGAGAATCGTGCTGGGAGTCTCGTATCTCGATAGATACAAACGTCAGAAGCGCAGGGAGCACAGTGATTGATAAGTACAGAGCCTCGACGCCACATGCAGTGTCAATGCTGATCAAAGACAGAGACAGGGCCTCAAAAGTGTGGCTCCCTAAGGTGGTGGGGGGGGGGGGTGAAAGATGTAAGATAAAGTTCTCTTTAAACGTCATATCAATTGATAGTGATTGTGTTAAAATCGATTTTTAAAAATATTACTTTTTATTAATTATTTTATCTTATATACTTTTAAAAAGAACATTGATATAATTGTTATTTCGTCCAAGCATTGAATACACTCTGCCTATTTTAGATCTACAGTGTCCTATTTTTGAGGACACTGTATATTTGTCCTACATTTGTGTTATATTGTATACGCAAGATCCTCCAAAGAACCCCTTTATTAAAAAACAAAAGAAAAAAAAAAAGAAACAACGAACTATTTAAGTATTTAAAAAGGCCTGTTTTAAATTTAAAAGAAACCATCCAACATTGAATAAACATCGGAAGTTCTAAAAAATTAATTTTATTCTAAATTTTTAGATAATTAATTAACGAACATAGTGACAGTATGCGTGGTGTTGGGGATTGGCATGACGAAGCGGCATACACAGAAACAAAACAAAATGTAGATATCTATGACAAAATTGGATACATTGCTTAGGCATACACTGTGTACATAATGTTTTTAAAAGCTCATAACATCATAACTGTATAGCGGCTCAGTGGCGGTGCATGGCGGGGAGGGGGGGGGTACGGTCCCCACCGGGAGACGCCATTTGGAGGTGGGGCATCAAATTATATCAGGGGTGCGATGAGTCAATCTCGGGGGGTTTGGCGGAGGTCAAGACGCACACCTACGATTTGCAATCAGATGTTGTCAGTGATAACAATAGAACTTTTTTTAAGGTTTCGGTAAATGCACATATGAAACTCCCCCAACCCCCATAAAAGCTTAAGAACCATTAATTTAGACACGCATCCTTTCAAAATTAAGTTCAAATTTGTTATTATTATTTTTAACTACTATACTAGTTTTATTTATTAGGGTAAGAATCGAGATTTTCACAAATCACGTGTTAGGCTTCGCTGAGTCGGAAAAACTTAATTTTTGCAATCTTGTCTGTATGTCTGTATGTCTGTGTGTCTGTGAACACGATACGCATAATAAGAAACTTATTTAAAACAGGATATTTTAGTTAGGCAGAAGGCGCACTATGCGAGCAAAATGATTTCAACCCTGCTTTAAACTGCTAGATAATAAACGGAGTGTGAATACACCAAATGAGGAAAATTTAACCATTTAAATATATATATATATATATATATATATATATATATATATATATATATATATATATATATATATATATATATATATATATATGAAAAAAAATATATGTAATATATGTAATATATATATATATATATATATATATATATATATATATATATATATATATATATATATATATATATATGAAAAAATATATATGTAATATATGTAATATATATATATATATATATATATATATATATATATATATATATATATATATATATATATATATATATATATATATACTTTGGGTGCGAGCGTGCGTGATTTATTTTTAAATCTCTAAAAATAGAACTGAGAACTGTGTGGGGGGAAAAAAAACAACAACAGGAAAACAAGGACCCCCTTTTTATTCTTAGCCCCCGCCGTATCGTTCTTCAATTCACAAAGCCGAATGACATTTTTCTTTGTAGTTTCCCCTGCGTCGTGACCTTCACCCTTTCAAATTGGCGAGATCAGAAACAACAGACGCAGGTGATCAAAGTGAACGGGGGTGGGGGTGAAGAGGGGGGGGGAAGTAAGGACACATGTTGGACAAATTGGCCCTTAGATTCAGTTCAGGACCCCGTGAGAGAGAATAAGAGGGGGGGGGGTCAAAAGGTTTTTCTGTTCGTTTTGTAAGTAGGAGATGAAAGTTGAGAGAATGAGTAGGGAGGTGAGGAGAGGGGGGGGGGGGGGGGAGGGGGGGTGGGGTGCAGTAAACATTAATGGTATAGTCGTATTTTTTTCTTCAATATTCTAATACCCTGGTCAGTTCAAAGTGAATTGGCTGTCCAGTGAACAGGATGAAAGGGGACGAAAAGAGTCCAAATTGTACGAAAAATAATGTATTATTAAAATAATTTATTTCACACGATGTGGCGCTAATAGGGTATGTGATTAATTAACCACAATTTAAAATGTATTTTTTAAAAATACGTTATAGCGCAAAAAAATAATAATAATAATAAAAATGAAAAACGGGACTCTTTTTTTTATCTTTTAAAAATCTTATTGGCCTATAGGCCTACTTATCAACCAATACAATTGGAAAGCAAAAAACTTTTTAATGTGAATCGCCATCAATAACAATGAAACAATAATACTGTTGCCTGGGTAGATTTAATCAATTTAATGTATCGTACTGGAACCATAGGTAAAACATCATGTAATGCGTTAGTGTAAA